TGGGCTATTTTAATGGGGGAAGCGATGATTCAGAGAGGAGGGTGGTGTGCAAGGAGGGAGAGGAAGCAGACAAGAGTGAAGGCCAGGTTTCTGGGATGAGGCAGCAGGTGGATGTTGGTGACATTTACCAGCTTATAAAACAAAGGAAGAGAAGGGCAAATCGGTTGCCATTCCTTCAATCTGATACTCTTTAAAAATCAGTTAGCCATTTACTTAGTAGAGTTAGAGGACCACAAACAAGGAATTTTTAAGATTTTGAAATTCCATGTTTCTGTGTTTATTCCTTACCACAATCCAGGAGGAAGGTCTTCCTCAGCCCTGTCCTGGCTGGTGGAAGTCTGAAGCGGAAAGAGGGTCAGTAAGGATTGAGAATGCTGGGGCTGGGACTTAAATTCAGTACTGTCTACATGTAGTTCCTGAAGCTTATATGTCACATAATAATTGGATGTGGGTTCCCAGTTATTCCAGAAAACCATATCCAAGTATCTTAGCATTTTAAAATGTTCTAAAATATAAAGAGGGAACTCAGTAGATGCATGGAGTACCTTGTGCTGATTTTAAAAAGAGACTAGGGATGGGGGGAAAAAAAAAACCTTTGTATAGACTCAAAAACTCTTGGCATGGTTCAGTTATTTTTGATATGTATTATTAGCTTAACAAGTCAATTTCAATTCTGCCAAATGACATGGAGGAATGGGGAGAACTGATTTTCACATCCTCCAAATTCTCCTCATTGTACCTCAAACATAAAACATCCTTAAAACCAAATAACATATAATTTATAGTATGGCGTTAAAAAAATTTTTTTTTTTAATCTTATGGGGCTCGAACTCACAGCCCCGAGATCAGCAGTCGCATGGTCTACCAACTGGGCCAGCCAGGCACTGCTATGGTATGGCATTGTTTTTAAAAACAAAGCAGGGCACCTGGGTGGCTCAGTTGGTTAAGCGACTGCCTTCGGCTCAGGTCATGATCCTGGAGTCCCGGGATCAAGTCCCGCATCGGGCTTCCTGCTGAGCAGGGAGTCTGCTTCTCCCTCTGACCCTCTGACCTTCTTCCCTCTCGTGCTTTCTATCTCTCATTCTCTCTCTCTCTCAAATAAATAAATAAAATCTTAAAAAAAAAAAACCAAAGCGAAGTTTTAATGACTTTTAAAAATAGGCTAAGCTACTTACTAAACCAAATATTTCTTTACCAGTTCTTAAAAGGAAGGACTTAAATATTACTATTTAATATTATAAAACTTCAAACTTGAAATCTTATAAAAGAAACACACTTCCAAAATAACACCAAAAGACATGTCTTTTTTTAAAGCTTTTAATTAAAAAAAAGAAAAAAAGTGTAAAACAGGAGATGGCGTTCAAAAAGACAAGTAATTAAATCATAATATTTGTTCTTTTAATTTGCTGTAACAATTCATTTTCTTTGGAGTATTCTGTTTTTTATGTTCATTTCTTCCCAAAGAAAAATTACTAAAAAATAAGTTTTCCAACATAAAAAAAATCCACGCAGGGTCTCCTTGGGAGCTATAAACAACGGCGCACTTTTCAGTGACAACACAAACATGTAAACCTCATGACGCAGAAACTGCACGACTCTTACATGTTCATGCAGATGGTGACACGCACACACACGAGCGTTTTATCTTGAGGCTCAAGAGAGTATTTCCAGTTTTAACCTGTGAAGAACAGAAACTAGGATAACTTTCTCCATCTGGCAGCAAAATCTCATCAGCTTCAAACACCAGCACTGCAACCGTGAAATGAGTTGACTTAAGATGTCACTATCTAGAAACCTTCAATTCACAGAGCACGACGGATTCCCAGGGCTCTTTCCTTAAAAGGCATGTGGGGGTGTGTGTGTGTATCTATGTATGTGTTGTGTGATTTTAAAAATTTTTGAAAGTTTTTATCATAAAGAATCCATCTAAGGATTAGAACTTCCTCCTGCCTGCACAGGGATCTGTCGTCCCGCCATTAATGCCAAGCCTCTTGGTACTACTCAGTAGCTTACATTAAAGACAGGAAGGGAAAGGCAAAAATGAAAAAAAGGAAGACGAAAGAGTAGGACCCAAGAAACAGAAAAACCTAAGAAAGCTTGCTTACCATATCATTCGATGAGGATATAATGATTTGTACCCCCGTGGCATCCAACATTTTTCAGTCATGAAATCATGTTCACATTGGCTCATCCAACGTGATGCAATCCAATGCAATCTATCTTTTTTTTGGTGTAAGTATCAGGCAATATTTATACATAAATCTAAATTTGTATGGACATGTCCTCTCTTCTGGGTGGGTGGAGTGATTATTCTATTACTGGAGCACTATTTTGTGATGTCAGTAAGGTCTTGTATGGCTTGCTTGTTTTATGAACACTGTAAGTGTAATAAGATAAATACTCTCAAACCTTGATGAGTCCATATAAATATCCATTTCGATAATAAATCCTGTCATAGTCACAACAATTTGCAATGGAAGCACTCAGTATGTAATAGAGATTTCAAATAAATAGTGAAGCGGGAGTGTTACGCCCTAAATGCTAAATTATCATTCAGGAAGTTGAAGGAAAACTTAAACAGATTTTCTAGCCAATTAATTTTTTCTTAAATGTTGAAATTTTCAACGTAAGTCACAATTTCTGAGATTTGTATTGGAAAAAAACTTAAGAAAAATATTGTAAGTATTTCTAGTGACCCTCCTATAGAAAGTCTCAATCTCCATGCATACAAAAATACTGTTACATTTTGCTATTGGCAAGTGTTCTTTCGTTCTCCAATGGAACTCTGTAGTCATATGCATTGACCAGAATTCTATAGGAAACAAGAAGAGGAGATGAGAGAACCAGTCTCATGCTCTTCCCAATGTAGATTCAATGTGCCATATGGAGCAACACAACCTTTGACAAACTTCAGATCACAGACTGCATGATTTAGGAGTCCACTGAATTAAAATTCACAGTTCCCAGATTTCAAAGGCACTAATGTTGTAGTTGTCTAGAAATTATCAAAGGCAGAGAAAATACTGCCTCATAGTAACATACTAAATGGAAAATAACACGTTCAGGCAGCAGGGATTGGAAGAGCAAATGTTCTCCAAATTCTCCACCAAACTCACCTCAAATATCAGGATAGCATGAAGAAATTCCAAGGCAGAAAACCACACCAAATTCTAAGGTTTCACATTCTCATAATGTAGCATTCTAAAATGTTCTAGAATTCTATCATGGACCTTTTCTGGGTATTCGGACCAGAACCAATAGTTAAGAGTTGTGGGTAAACCAGACTCTCATAAAAGAAAAGGTGTTGCGGTATTCAAAGTCTTTACAGCAGATTTTTTGTGGGACTCACAAAAGGAGGAAAGGACTTCTTTAGGTCTGTAAGTCACCAACAAATCTGAATGACATTTGTAGGGTTTACTGGCCATGCTGAACAAGTAGAAAGACTGGAATGGAAGTCAGGGAATCATGTTTACATTCTAACTCTTTCACTAAAACCCCATTTGTGGGATCCAAAAATTACCCTAAGGCCTTTAGATATAAAATAATAAATGATATCACCTTTAATGGTGAAATGAGGAAACAGAAAATATAACAATATAACACATCATAATGGTAATTTCCTTAACAAAAATAGTAACTCACAGGCCGCCCAACTGATCAAAAGGAACGTATAGGCCATTCCTTTAACATTTGAGAATTTGTTACTACCATAATGGTTCTGTATACGAATATTGATTGATATCTATACATTTCTTTGGAGTGTTGAGATTTTCATATGTTTTTTCAGGGTAAGACTTTTCCTGTGGATATAGTACCTGTGATATCCAACTGGGCTCCACCATATTTGCGTTATCAAAATATTATTTTTCTTTTTATGCTTTTAGATCACTGTCTATATATGATGAAACGTTTTTAATACTTTTATTTCCAAAAATTTGTCTGTAAAACAGGATGCATCTTACCATACCTGTATGTGTTACAGAACAGCAATTATATTGGGTGTCCTTGTTTCTTTGTATTATAATTTCCTTATTTGCCCAGTGGAGATGATACAGGCCCCTACTAAGTCCATTAGGCTGTTGTGAACATCAATATCATTTCTGCACAAGTTTTTTGAGGTAAATAAAGCCTTATGCAAAATACTCTTACCCTGATACCAGCTACAGGAGCAACCAGGGATTAAGTCAGATCCCTTGGGGGACTATAGAATTTCCTCCACTGTAGCTAGGTGATAAGACCTGCCTGGTTCCTTGGCTAACAGCTGGGTAACCCTAGAGAAGGAAATAAAATTTAAAGAGACCCTTCTAAGGCTGGTAAGAAGTTGAATTTTCTTGTCAATGGAATCAGCTGAACTATCTATTCTGTACACATAAGTTTGAAGTTGGCCTTTAATTTCCACCTGTTGCCCAAGAGTTTAAAGAAGAGAGAAGGTCACCCCTACTAAGGTAAGAGATAAAATGTTTTTGTCTGTGGGTAAACACAAAATCACATCTCTGTTAAAGTGACCCCTTGGGTTTAACACAATTATTGAATTTCCTTTCAGAAGGTATGGTTGCATAAATATTTCTTATTATTTAATCTTCCACTAATCTAAACAGCTTTTCTTTAAAAACACCCCCAGATATGCTCCATCCTTTAACACTGCCCAATCAGCAGAAATCTGAATACTTCTGCCAGATGTATTTTAAATAAAGCACTGTAAACATAATCATTCTCTCTAAATTTTTGTCTCTACAGAAAAATCTCAGCATAGGGGCCAGCTTTTACTCAAACTGCCTGTTTTGCATATGTGTTACAATGGAAAAGACAACCAGCAAATAAATATAGAAATAGGGAGAAAAGGCTGGGAGCATCCACCCATTAAAATAACAATCTTTTCACCGGTTGGTAGGATTACGGCTAATCTAATTTTGATTTTGGTCCACGGATCTGTATTCCCTACAAGTTTTTAACATTTTTCTGTTTTACAACAAGCATGTATTACTTTTATAACAAGGATATGGGGGAGTCCATTGCATAGAAAGAGTCACAAGAATATTAGATTAATACACCACATGAGATGTCACTGACGTGGTCTCAGACATTTAACAGGAATTGGAAGACTCACAAAAGTTCCTTTTCACAGCTAGCTCCACCTGTTTGAACAATGTTAAGTGAGTAATAATACAATTTAAAAAAAACCAGAGAGATAAATAGCAATTTTAAAAAAATTAAAGCATATTTCCTTTTAGGGGCAAATAATTGAGGAAACTGTAATGAGGCCTTTTAAACGCAACTGTCACAGAGCACCATTAAACATTCACACGAAAGAGATCCAGGCAGCTTAAAGATGAACGTTGCCTTGTCCTTGAGAGGCTGAATCCACTTGTGACAATATGAAAAATATTCAGTGCATCTGGTTGGGGCCCACTTGGATGATGACGTGTTTCTCATAAGCCCTTTTCATTGTTTTCTCAATTTGCTTCAAAAACACTTGTGGAATTCGTCCACATAAAGTGTGCACAGTCTCCAAAAACTTCAGCTGGAGCGGGTAATACATGGATTGAAAGAGATTATCTTGAAAGGGAAACTAAAAAAGGATTTTTAAAAAAATGATAGAAAATGTTTAGTGACTAAAATGCCATTTAAAATGCAAACAACATTTACTAAAAAATGAAACGGAATTAAGCATGCAGGCATAGGTTTGGATGTTCCAAGACATTCGATGGGGATTCAAAACCTGATTCAATCCTGTGCAGCCCCAGGCAATTACTTACCAACCCTGGGCCTCAGTTTCTTTACCTCTAAAAAAAAAAAAAATGATTTATTTGGGTCCTTAAAGCTCTTAAAATCTAAGATCAAAATATATCTTCAAGGTCAAGATATTCTCTATTTAGTATGCTCTTGCTGAGGAGAAGCAAGGCGCGAGTAGAGACTTGAAATCTGCGATAAAACATTGAATTCTTCATATTTTTTGCATTTGTTGCAACTTATTTTAAGATTTATTTATTTTGGAGAGAGAGAGCGCCCACGTGCCAGAGCACACAGGGCAAAGGAAGAGGGAACAAGAGACTCTCAAGCCAACTCCCTCCTGAGCACAGAGCCAGACATGGGGCTCGATCTCATGACCCTGAGATCATGACCTGAGCCGAAACCAAGAGTCGGACGCTTAACCAACTGAGCCACCCAGGCACCTGTTTGTTGTAATCTCAATGAAGAAACTTTAGGGTATGTCTATAGTAATCTCATGAAGTCCAGAGTTTAGCCATTACTAGTAAAATTTATCATCACTGAACTTCATTTTAAAATAATTCAGGTACCAAATATTGGTTGTTGTTGTTTTTTTCCCACATAATACTGGGCTTTTGATTTGAAATTCTCTTGTTTTCCCATGAAAGGTGTTTATGAGCAGAATTTTCCAAAATAAATCTTTTTGACCACTTAGTTATGAGCATGTTCAAATTTTTATTACAAACTGGTAGAAATGGAAAAGGCCTCCAGTAGGTCAAGTCAAAGATTCATTGTTGGCGAGGAAATTTTATACAAAAGGATTAGGGAAAAAAAAAAAAAA